CTTTTAAATTCTTTTCTAAGATAAATATAATAATAACTAATAACTAATAAAATACAAATATCAAAATAATAAAATAAAACTAAGATAAAATAATAAACTAATAAAATAAAACTGTTCTATAATAATACTAAAGAATATAACAGAACATAATAAGGATACTTTGTTAAGAAAAGACCAAAGATCCTTTTCTAATATTACTTGTTTCACTAAAGAAAACTCTGAAAAAATAATAGATAATTTATTTATTGAAAATAAATCTGGTGACGAAATTATTGTAGAAAATGCACAAGATAATCTTAGATAAGTAGAAAATAAACTAAATCATATCTATACATTATGCCAAGCCATAAAAAATATTAAAAAAAAAAAACAAATAGTGTTAGAAGCCTGCAACAATATTTTTTTATAGTAACAAAGTCAAGTTTAAAAGGTTTTTTGTTTTCATTATTATTTCCAAATGCATATGAATATAAAAATGTGAATAAAAAATTTTGGTAAGATTTTAATAGCTTATATAAAGAAGTTTTGATTAATAAATTCAAAGGCCAGATCAAATATTTAGAACTTTTAAATCTTCTTGATCCAAAAGATTATAGTATTTAAATAAAAGGTTGTGGAAATGAAAATTTTTGCCCAAAAGTAATTAAATTTTCTGCAAATATAAATGTTAGTTTATTTATAATTTTTGTGCAACTTTTGGTCACCTAATTTAAGAAGTCTATCTGAAGATTCTACACTATATGCCATACCTGTAATTTAACTAGAAGATTATTTATTTAAACTCTCTAATATTCCTAGTCCTGTATCACCACCACAATTACACCAATTTATAACTTTGTACTGCTTTTTATTGAAGGCCACCCAGATCAATATATACTATACTACTTGTGCCCTAATTCTATAGATAACCCAGTAGGTTCTCATACTACTGGGTTGCCCTAAAGAGGGTATAGTACATACACCTCTAATTTTTCTATGTCTCATATATTTTTAGATTAGATTATGAATACTTTTCGCAGCAGCCGAAACCACTACTAGCAGTCAGAGTGAACTATTAAACTGCACAATTCTGATATTTAGTGCCTTTACAAGGTTTGTTCTGATCCTAATACCTACATCAAGCCAGTCTTTATACAAATCCCTCCCCAACTATCAAGCCAGTTAGCCTGAACGGGTTGTTGTATCTAGGTTTTAAGTGCCTTTCAGTTTTACTTCCCTTGGTTTCTAATTCCATAGCATAGAATCTTTTCCTTCAGTGCGACTCCGGTGGCCAAGTTGATAAACCCTTCTTGTTCTAGGGTTTTTGTCTGATTCTTTGGTCTTCAGTTTCTGACTTTTTCACAATATTGTCAAAGGTTTTTACTATCTCCTTATTCAGGTCTTGTCAAACAGATTTCAATTATTCTGGTTCCTTAGATTTGGATTGCTTAAGAGCTTCTATTTCAAGATAGTAGTACCAAGATTATAGGTAATATATCTAACTGATCGTCAATAATTGTTACCGATACACTGGCCTATTTTTCTAAAACTGTCTCTGGTAGAATTCGAACTCTAGACCTGCCACTTGAGAGGTAACAACTTAACTATTACTCTAAGTCACTACACCCTTGAAATTGAATTTAATGATGATGTTTCTAAAGAAAAAGCAAGAAAAATATTAGAAAAAAAGTATAGATATTTTGAAGAATTAGATGATATTTATTATTGGCAAAAATATTATATAATTGACAAAAGCAAATATATTCTTTGACTAATTAAACTGTATTATCTAAAAATTTACAATACTAAAAGAATATATCAAGATATGAATGAATATAAAGCAATCAAAAGAAAAAATTTAAAAGAAAATCCTTTAGAACATAGAGATGAAATTCTTTTTGTCAAAATAACATTTCTAGTAATATTACAAAAAGTAAACAATAAAAAACAAAAAAAGAAAGATACCTTATATTTAAACATCTATCAAATCAAAATCGAAAAACCAGCATATTGACAAAATCATTAGACTCCCAAGAAGAATCAAGTAAAAAAAAACTATCGATTAATGAATTAAATTATAATTCTGATTTATATTCAGATGATTCAGATTATACTCGTAAAAGAATAAATGCAAATATATTAAAGAATCAAAACAGGTTAAACAAGAAAATAATAATTTTGATTAAAAACAAATTGAAGTTCATCAAGATATTATTAATCAACAACAAATTGAAATTCAACAAAATTATTAAGAATCACTTAATAAAAAAGAATCTAACAATATAGAAGAAAATAATTTTAATTACAATAAAAATTTTAAATTAGATATTGCAAATGAAATAAAAGATAAAGAATTTAAAAGAACAAACAAAAATAATTATCTTTATTCAGAATTTTCACGTATACTTCAAAAATTATAAATTGTTTTTATTATTTATTTTTTTTTTAATATTAAAAATATTTTATAAATAGCAAACAAATAAATTTTTTATTATTAATAAACATGTTAATTTCTAAAATAAATACAAATCAAGAAATATTATTTAATAAAAAAAGATGTATTGAATTTCTTTTAGAAAACCAACTTATTAATAAACAACTACATAGTTGTTTAAAATATAACAATACAGAATTTTACTGTCAATACAATTTATAGATATGTAAAAACACAAATTGTAATAAAATAATCTCAATATATCATAATTCATTCTTTAGTAAAAGATGTCTAAAAAGCAATCAGATTTTATTACTTAGTTATTTTTAGATTTCAAAGGCATGATATACAATACTTAGATATTTGACAGGATTTTTACTAAAATCAATTAAAAAATATACAAAAATATTTTATAATTTAATAATAAACACATTAACAGTTAATAATAGCAGGCTAAAAGAAGTACATAAAATTGTAGAAATTGATGAATCTAAATTTAAAAAATATTTTATGATAGGTTGTAGGATTGACTGAACAAAAATCAAACAAATGCTATTTTGAAGTTGTACAAGATAGAAACACAAATACTTTTACAAAATAATAAGAAAACATGTCATTTCAGAAACAAGAATCTATTCAGATAGTTGGCATTGCTACCAGAATTTAGAAAAATTAAGAATAAAACATATTCGTATAAATCATTCAAAACAATTAACACAGAGACAAAGATTAAGAAAAATTCATAATAATACTATAAAAGGTAAATAAAAATTTTATTTTTATTTTATTTTTTTTTATATTTAAGGTGAAGTCAAACCTCTAATTTTTATTAATTCTTAAGTATTATATATATTTCATATACCTATTCTCAAACTAATTTTAGATATGAGATTCAGACTACTTTATTTGTAACCTAAACCTACCATAATATTCTGTATTCTATTTATATCTTTATCTAGTTTTTGTACTTCACAACTAACTAATTCTAGTTATCTAACTGTATTCTCCCTATAATTCACAATTAATCTCAATAATTTCTAATATTCCTAATTTGGTTTACTTAGATTATTGGTCTCTAAAGGCCTCCCAAATTGGTATGTCTATAGCAGAGATGAAATCCACATCTACAAACTCTTTATATCTATCTTTTTACCAGTTCTTACCACATCTACAAGTCTTAATGTTTCTTTTTTGGTATTTCATATGCTATGTACTTTTTCTATCCTTTATATACTCCTTGTTATGATATTTGTTAAGAACTTATTTTAAGATGTATCTTTTCTAACTATAGACCTTTGTTATATATATTATATAACTTTCAGTTTGGAATATCTCAACCCTAGTTAGTATAGTATTTATACTGATAAATTCTTAACCATTTTCATTATAGACTTCCATATAGGTGCGATTAGAGCCTGATTTGGTTCCTTTAGTTATACAAAGACAGGTTATGCTTTCTACACTAAGTAACTTTCCTAAACTAGTTATTCTGCAATGCTAAAGGTGCTTTCAATTTTAGTTAAGGTATGCTCTTTACTACAGCCCATAGTCATATATTACCACTTCTTTCACTACTCTAGTTTTAGTTACTGTTATATTATCCTTCTAAGCAAATACTCTACAAGTTGTATGCAGGGATGTTGGTACTGCCTCCAGGTTATCCCAACTGAAGGTAGAGTTACAACTTGGCTAATTTTTCTAATCTGAATATAAATATTATATAAAAAATAAATTCAGATTAATCTATTTAAATCTGAATATAAATATATCTGGATTAATTCGGATTTATAAATCTAAATATACAGTCTGCCTTTCATATAATCACTCTCTATATAGTCATATCCTCTTTATAAGCACACTAATTTTTAGAACAAATATATATAAAACATAAGAGATTTGACCTCTATATAGGCACAATTTTTTATAAATACAGAATTTTTTAAAACTGGGGGTGTGACTGTAGAGAGGTTAGACTATAATAATTAATTTGGATATATTTATAATCCAGATATAATAATTAATTCAGATATATTTTATAATTCATATATAATAATTAATCTAAATATATTTTAGAATTCAGATATATTTATAATCCAGATATATTTTACAATCTGGATATATTTTACAATCTGGATATATTTTATAATCTGAATATATTTTATAATCTGAATATATTATATTTTATAATCAAGATATATTTTATAATCAGAATATATTTTTTTATAATTCAGCAATCCTACCCTTGTTTATTTGGGATCAAGTTATTCAAAATTACAAATAATTTATCTTTAACTAAAGTAGATCCAACCAAACAAAGGACTCACCTATGTGATTTTATACACCAGATGCAACTTGCCTCAGTAGTCCTTGGCCTCCTTTCAGATCCTTAACTCACTAAGAATTTATTTCCCTTTGGTCATTGGCTAGCAACTATCCGCCTTGTCAGTACTACCTAATTATATTTATATTCTACAATGTAATTGCGCTTTGGTCGTAGCCAGTACTTGTGAACAATGCAAAGCATCGAATGCTAATCTTAAAATAAGATTATTATATTGTGTATTTTCTATTCTATATATTTTAAACATTTTGCTACTACTTAATACTTCTTGTGATCTTTTATAGTTATCCCACTTCATCTTTTCATCCTTCATTTCTTTATTTTTTACTGGTAGTCTGCTTTGGCACTTCAGTCTTCTATTTTTCTTCTTCTTTTTGTGTTTCTTCCAGTTCTTTAGATTCACCTTGCTCTTCTTATTCTTGATAGTATTCTTTATACCAGTTTTCTTCATAAGTTTCTATTCGTAGTCCTTCTTTCCTTCTAGTTTCTTCCATATTACTTTGGATTTTTTTACTTCTAGAACTTGATTAGCTTGTTTGGGTCCTTCTTTACTTCTCTATTGGAACTTTGTGCTTTCTTTCTTTCTTCTTTTTTATAGTTCTGCATTTCTTCTAATAAGTATTTTTTGAGATCTATTATACTTCTCTTTACTTTTTGGTCTTTCTAAAAACCTTCCTACTGTTTCAAACGAGAAGTTTTTCTTTTTCCTCTTCCAGTTCTTAACTATTCGAAACTGCATATCTGCTTTTTCTTTTTTATTCCATAAGCTTGCTTTTTTTCTGTGTGACTTCTTTTGCAGTTTAACGTACTTCTCTTGATTTTTGACTGCTTCTCTTATATTTCTTCTTGCTATTCTAAATCTGGTGCTTTTCTTTTTCTTTTTCAATTCTTGACTTCTATTGTTCTCACTATTGCTGCCTCTTGTATGATATTTTCTTCATTTGTACTGGTGTTCGTTATTGATTTAATTCATCTACTCTATTTATCCAAGGTTTCTTTCTTTTTCTTTTTCCAGTCTTTAATATTATCTTGCCTACTTTCTAAGTCTACTTGATATATAAACTCTACTATCCACTTTAATATTTTTCTTCGTGGGTTTTTAAATTGTATATCACTGGAATTTTTCTCTCTATTAAGGTTGTTATCCAAATTTTTGGTCTTGATTCTTTGGTTAATTTGTTTAAAGTTTTCTTTTCTATAAGACCTTCAACATTTCTTTCTATATTTCTTTTCTTCACTATTTCTTCATTTCCTTTGGCTTCTTTATGTTTTTGTTTCAGCAGCTTTGCTTTTTGTTGAACTTGCATCTTCCTTATTTCCTTTCTAATTATATTTTTCTTTTTCTTTTCGTGTTGTTTTATTTCTATTAATTCTACTGATTCTCTAAAGTGCTGTAATAATAGTCCTAAATTTATTTTGTTATGCTGTCTTTGTCGACACTTTCTCTGTTTATCTAGTCTTTTCATCCATCCTGCTTCTATTCTAGCTTGTGTGTAATCGGTGGCCATTCTTTCTTTATTACATGCAAACAGCCTTTTTCTTTCTGCTGCGTATAGATTTCTTATAGTACTGGCTACTTCATTTAATAGGATATGTTCAGTTGGATCGATTTCTAACTGTATTACCTCTTGATATAATGTATCATTTCTTTTACAAAGTACAAGTTCTGTATATTTAATTCTTTTTGCTCTATATTGTCTTAATATATTGCTGCTATTTGTTCTTCTGCTTGTTTTGCTGTTGTAGGTTTAGTTCCAGCATTTTCTATTGTTTCTTGTTTCACGTAACTGATTTGTTGTTTTGTTTGTATATTTCTTTTGTTTTCATCTGTCACGTGCTTTTTAACGTGTTTTGTTTATTTATTCTTCATTACATGTTGCGTATCTTGTATGACTGCATTACGGTATCAAGGCCAATCTCCTAAACGACTTGCAAAGGGCAAAATTATCGACGATTTTTCTAGTTTTTTTACTATATCTTTGCCGCTTCTGCTTTTTTTTCTCAAGTCTCTTAAGAGACTGAGTATTATTTTTAGTCTTCTTGCTTTTTCTTAGAGCTGCAAGTCTTGTTTCCTATAGCTATTTATGTGTTTCTGTCATTTTTTGTTGTTGTTTTGTTTTGTGTTTTTGTGTACAGAGAATTAGCAGAGAGAGTTGAATATATTAAAATTGTTTATAAACTCATATTAATATAATCAAATCTTCTTACAAATCTATTTTAATATATTCAAATATATCAAAATTAGAGATTTGTATTATGTATTAGTTTTGTAATATCAATGATTTTAAAATTAAATCATGATTAAAGTTGTAATACAATAATCAAATAGCCAAATAATTAAATATTTGAAGTGCAATTATCATATCTTGTAATATCTTTATTGTTTGAAGAATGTGCAATAATAAGCCTATATCTCTCTTCTATATACAGTAATGCATCTATTATTCGAACTTCTTAACCTACTATATACAATTATCACTAATAAACTTTACAATAATAAAATATGTTTGGTTGTTTATATAAATATTAGATGTTATTCTACTATAAGCGACATGTCAAAGTAATAAAGAGCTCAAGAACAAAATTATATCCACCAAAGTTCACATAATATAAATTCAATATTTAACTTCAATGTATTGTAATATTCTTGCTTGGCTTAACTAAATAGTAAATATTTTAATAATAAAATATGTCGTCGCCAGTTAAGTCAAACAAATATATTACTTGACTTAATGTATAAGAGTGGTTAAAGAATGTTTTAAACAAGAAAAACTAAAGAAAAGCCTAAACTAAAACAAAAATACTATAAAATAACTAAACAAGAAAACAAAAATAACAAGGTTTATTCAAAAATACCAATAGAAAAATAATAATTTTACTATAAAAACACAATAAAAATACTATAAACTCACTATATATTCAATATAGAATTACAGTCTATTATGCAATAATAAGGCTTTTAATACAAGAAAATAGTCAAAGAGAAGGGTCAAATATACCCAGAAGCAATGTAAATATTCAAAGAAATAATTATGAAGCATACATTGATGTTTCTCTGCCTTGGGGAAAAGGCAGAGTTTATATATCTTTCAATAACGCTATATAATAATGACATATAATAATACTAGGAAATAATACTGTAAATCATTATATTACTAATGTAAATCATTGCAAATTATTGCAATAATACTATATATTATTATTTAAGTCGTTATAATGCTATACTAATACTAAAAATAGTTACAAAAATGATAAGGACATAAAATAATGCTGTCTAATAATACTGTTTAATAACACTATATAATAACAATATAAAATAATGCTATAAACTAAATAATAAAGCTATTATTTCTTAAATTAGTAATACAATTAAATGACTATTAATACATTGTTCTAAAAGGTCCTGGGGCATGTGTTATTTGTGTAGCCTTGCTTTGTATACCATTACATTAAACAAACTAATAATTAAATATTAAAGCAAATATTGCTTTAAATGAAATTCTGTAAAAAATGTACTAATAAAATATATAATAAACTATTGTATAAACATCTAAAATAGATAAAATATATTATAAACTATGTAAATAAACTAATAAAATAATAAAATATATAATAAACATATAAAAAAAATAATAAAATTTAAGAAAATATATAGAAAAAATATTAATAAAAATTTGTCTATATTATAGTATACAATTCCCAGTTATTTATATCTAAAATGAAAAAGTTCACTGGGTGTAAAGTTAATTATCCAAATGATAAATTTGTTTGAGATAGTATTTACTATACAATATGTATTGTGTATAAAAAGAATTATAATTGAAAAAAAAATAAAACCTTGAAACTGCTAGTCAGGAACCAGAGCAAGTGAATAATATTGAATGTGCTGAAATTGATTATCTCAAGGTGGGTAATTTTGTCGCAAATAAGAACCAAGAACTAACTAAAAGTACAAATGCCAATAGTATAGCTGAAAAAGCATACCAGATATATTTATTAGTAAAAATGAACGATACACAAAATAAGATAACAAAAAAAATTGCTGATCTCATTATTTCTGAAATTGAAGATGTGATGATTTTTTGTGGATATAGATTCAATTATTAGCCTTGTTTTTGTCTTTATTTTTCATTATTATTTTTTTTTTTATCTATATATATATATATTTTTTAATGCTTGTTTTTTTTTAAAACTAATATTTTTATAATTATAGTTACTATGAAGTAGACATATCAAAAAGTTTAATAATACGTACGATCTGTAGATTCATATATTTGTGTTATCAATCAGAAGATGCTCTAAGTAAATAATATAAAGATTCAAATTGAAAGAGATGCATATGATCTAACTGTAAAAAAAAATTACTATACGAGTTGATACTATTCTCAGTATTGCAAAGATAAATATAAGGTTGTAAAATTACTATAATTTTGTATAATTTGTATAATTTTGTGTAAGTTTTAGATCAGTAAACTTCATCAAAGTTCAATAATATTAGCTAGATTTTTTATAGTTTTGATACTATATATTATATATAAAATTTACATAAAACCTAAGTTCTAAAACTTACGTGAAATTATATATATTGTATATTGTAATTTTTGTAACACAATCCTAGATAAATATTCATCATGGATTTTTTCACGAATGCCTAAGTTCTTGTATTAAAATGCTAGAAGAATTATATAAAAAGATCAAGGTATATAAATACTTCACTATGATTCAATTGATAAATTATCTAAGAAATTACGGTTTCGGTATCTCGAAATACTCCTACAAGTGCATATATTATTGAAAGACTATGACAAATTGAAACATATATCAACACCATAATGATCAAGCCAAATTTGCATGCAGACTTCTAAATGAATACAGAAATCTAAATTTTTATTAATGCCTAAACATACAAGATTCTGAGTCTATTGCCATTGCCTTTAAAACCTCATTACTGAAAAGCATTAACGATTTTAACATTAAAGGTAAAAGTTTTTTTGATTTCTTCTGAATTTCTAAAAAAAAAATAAATAAAATAATAAAAATAGAAAATTACTATGATTCACAACCTGTGAAATTCACAGGTCTGCATTTAGCCAATTAAATTTACTATGATTTACTTCAAAAAAAGTTTTCTATTTAAGTTAGAGTTGAATTAAGATTATAATAAATAATAAATTTTATAGTAAAATTTAGCAAAGAATTTTTTTACTTATAATACCAAAGGCAGTTTCTTAAGCTAAATTTTGTGTTATAAGTAATTTTATTTTTTTCATAAAAAAAACTTTGTTTTTATTACACAAAAAAATTTGCAAATCATGCTAATTCTGCAATTTTGATTAATCAGATGCTATAAATTTCACAGCCTGTTAAGATTAGCAATTCTCATAAAGTTATAATAAATAATACAAAAATATATAAATAAAAAATAATAAACTCGAGTTTACTGATTTTAAAAAACAGCCTTTATAATATAAATTAAATAAATTAGTGGTAACAAAAATGATCCTCGGTTCTGTGATTTCTAAATAAAATAGATTTAATAAAATCTAAAATATCAAACACATAATCATTATAGTATAAATTTTCTCTGCGAATTCTCTAATATCTTATAATCTACAGAGCATTTAAATTGCTTAGACCGAGAATTATTTCTGCCACCACTAATTCACCTATATAAATTAGAAAATTGAATAAGTAAAAATTTAAAATATAAGAATTTTTTTATATTAACTATATATAATAATATAATCTATCTTTAAAGTTATCGAGATATATATAAATACAACCTATAAAACTACATGTGAGTGCTGAGCTTTATAGTGTTATTGCTAATGTAGACAGTGCAGATTTTCTGATCACTTATCTTATAATAAATACGATGAAAGCAAAGGATTTAGGTGCCACTATAGAAAAGCATAATACAATATTAAGAAGATTTCTGGAGGTTTTAAAATTATATAATATCAACTTGGAGTTCATATTTACTGATAAAAACTTTGTAGAGATAAATACTGCATCTAATGTATAAAGAGTTTCTGTCATTTAATTATATGCTTAGCATCTAAAGCGAGCTATAAAACATAAGCTTGAAGAGAAAAGAAAACTATTAAGCAATTCCAAATTAATCACTATAAATTATAATGTTAATCAAGCCTCTAGCGAGTTTAATTTTATTGATCCTAGTTTTTACTTGAGTAAGAAAGACCATAATCTAAAGTCATATGTTATTTGTCTATCTATATTTCAAAAAAAATTTTAGAACTAATGCAAAAGTACTTTGACCTGCATCTATTAATATCCGTTGATACATATAAAGGTATAATATCACCAGAGGCTATAAAAAAAACTGCAATAGAAAAGATATATCGATTCTATAAAAATTGATATAATAATTAATAAATTATATTAGATTAATTAATTACTATTTAAATAATAAAAATAATAAATTAATATATAAGGATTACAGTTACTCTAATCCTATCTCTGGACTAACTGATACTCAACAAAGCAATAACATCTTTGAGCATGATTAGCCAAACTGACTGTGCCTTATGAAAAAACCACTATGAAAATAGAAGCTCATTGGAGTGTCTTTAAACGATTTTACTTACAACATTTAAATCAGCTTAGGCTAAACCTCTTAATATAGATACTTCTTAATAAAGTAGTTCTATCACAAAAAGATCAGTTTTTTCAAATTTGAAATGAAACAATAGAACCATCTTGGTGGGAGGATTTCAAAAAAATATGAACTTATATAGATGCAAGCAACAAAAAACGAGTAAAACTATGTGCTAATAGGAGTAGTAAGAAAAGAAAAAGAAGTATTGATGAAGGAACAATTAATTCAGATAATTCTGGTTCATACTTTACAGATATTTCTCATTAAGTATATAGCTGTCCTGGTTTTGTTAAAAATCAGTTCTTGTTATGTACGCACTTGGTTAAACAATGTGTAAATACACCAGATGGCAAAAGATGATGTTTGATTAGAAGCAAATTTGAACATCACACTACACCACCTTTCCTTATTATCAATAATCTTAATATCAATATCTCAGAGACTCAAGTTGCTCAAGTTGTTGAAGCTTCTATTAATAACTTACCAGATAACCATGATATTAATATATATGATGAAGATCCAGATGAAAAAGCCTGTGTTTATGTTGAATCAAACTGGAAGTTATTTGAACAGATATTCCAATAGATCTGTTCAGAAAAGTTTGCCAATAACTGATAACGAGTTAGTGCTATGATGAAATATAGTTGCCTAATGACAGGCGACTTGGAAATCAGAAAATAGTAAAAAGCCATACCTTATATATTTGTCCCTCCTAGAAGAGCAAGTAGAATATATTAATGATATTGTATGATTGATTTATAATAGAATTAGAGAAATAGAAAATAACTACAAGTGTTATATACCTTATATTGAGTTTCTAGTCTTGTAATTTAAAAATTATGTTATATTTATTTCTTTAAAAATAAAATAATATTTAATATAAACCTATTTATAAAGCTAAAAGCAATGTGTAATTAGATCTACGGTTTTTTTTCACTAAGAACAGAATTTTCTAAAAGGTTCAAATAGAGCAGAACGGAAATAGATTTTGATTATCGGCAGCTGCTGCGGCGATTTCGTAGATCATCACCGGGGGCGACCCTGGCTAATTCCTCTAACCTAACCCCAACTAAGATATCACATTATAAAAGGAAGGTGATATGTAAATTGGTGCGAATAATCCTAGCCAATAGAAATTTGGGGGGGGGGGGAAAATTTAAAAGCGAGGGGTTCAGGATAACTGCGTTATCACATGATTTATTAGATAACGAAACAGATAATCCTTGAGTTCGTATATCTAACGTTAAAAATGAAACAAAAATTTTCAGCCCTTGATGTGAGGGCCATGGTGTCCGATTTAAAAGAAAAGTACTATAGTATTTTATTTATTTATTTGTTTTTTTTTTTTTTTTTTTTTATACATTCAACTGATCGATTATTTTAATTACAGAATTGTTGGCTTAAGATTACAAAACGTCTATGACATAAATCCGAAAACTTATTTATTTAAATTTTCAAAGGTCATTAAAAGTATTATAGAATGCATATTGTTATTTAGTTGCGATCTTTAATTGTTAACGATTTATCATGTTTTAAATCAAATAAAGCCGGATAGGAAGGAACTTGTGTTAATTGAATCGGGGAACAGGATTCATACGACACAATTTTCTCGGGATAAATCGATTACTCCTTCACCTTTTTGTATAAAGGTATGTATTAAAAAATAGTTATTGGATATTTGATACATGGTCCAAGCCCAGATTCGAACTATAAATCAAATGTTTCGAGTAATAATATTTTATGTAAAAATTTTTTTTCAGCTACGAAAGCATATTAGAACACGAAGACTAACTGATGTCAGACAATTGGGTGTTGATAGGATCATTGACTTTGAATTTGCCGGCGTTGGTGAAGGCACAACGTACCATATTATAGCAGAGTTTTATGCTTCAGTAAGTTACTTAAATATATTTTGTTAATCATTTTGTTTTGGCGTGTTATTCATTTATAACGAATATATATTAGGGAAATATAATCTTTACAGATCATGAATATACAATATTATCATTATTACGTGTCGTTCAATCTAAAGAAAATGAAAAGATTGCCGTTGGCCAAATATACAATGTCAATGCTGTATCTCGTGTAGGCGATCCTGTAACGAGATTTCGTTTACGGGATGTACTGATTGATCAAACTTCCAAAGATTCGCTAAAAAAAGTGTTAAATGCTAAGTTGAGTATGTTGATTACATTAATTAATTATTATTTTGATCACGTTTTAGTTTTGTATCTAGTAAAATAGTATAAATCCAATTATAGGTTACGGTCAGTCATTGACTGAGCATGCCATTCGCTTCGCAAATCTGGATCCGAATATGAAAGTCGGAACAGTTGACAAATCTGAAGGTTTATTCACGACGATTATTTATATTTTATTATCCAAAAAAAAAAAAAAAAAATCTCTGGGTCTAATAATATTGCGCGTACAATTAGATTCATCGCATTTAAGTGCTTTAGAAGCTGGTTTCTCTGAAGTAGATCGTATAATAGAAGATACTGCCAGGACCAGACAAAAGGCATAATTGCATTCAATAATTATTATTTATGCAAATATTATATGTTTGGCTAATATTTATTTGTATTGAACTCTTACAGGGATATATAATTATGTTAAAACATTCACAAAATGATGAATGTGAAGTTGAAGATAATGTAACAACGTATGCTATTATAATATTGTGTTATTCGTTCAACTACTCGTCGATTTTCTGTAAACCAAAATTTTAATGTTTTAAACTATTTATTCTCAGTTATGATGAGTTTCATCCTTTTCTTTTCGAACAACATAAATTGAAACCCTACAAAGAATTTGATTCATTTGATTTGGCCGTCGATGAGTACTACTCATCTATGGAAAGCCAAAAATTATTATTAAAAGAGAGAAACCAGGAGAAAGCTGCACTGAAAAAGTTGGAAGCCATTAAAAAAGAGCAATATTCTAGAGTGGAAAATTTGCAAAGTGCACAGGAGATTAACATGCGTAAAGCTAGATTAATCGAGTCAAACGTCGATATAGTAGATCAGGCTATTATAGTAATAAGAAACGCTATTGCTAGTTCAATGGATTGGAAAGATCTTGAAAACCTAGTTATGGAAGAAAAAAAAAAAGGGAATCCAATAGCTGCTATAATTGCGGGATTGAAGCTTGAAATGAATCAGATTACATTGTTATTAAAGTATATAAAATTTTTACTAAATTATAAAATTATAAATAACTTTCTAAATGACCCATTGAGGATTAAAATTGGGAACCGGTTTTATTTTCATTAAAACCGGGTTTAATCGGTTTTAGCATATGAAAAATAAAACCGGTTCCAAACTCTAGGTTAAATACAAAAAGTGCATTTGCTTATAGACATTTATAAAAAACAATTTTATAAATGTCTATGTTTTAGGACTTATATATAGGGTGCATTTAGAGAGATTCCTTACATTAATAATTCTATGGAATTATCTTAATCATTGTACAGTGGATTGACTTTTCTTTATATGATGCTAATATAGGGAGTCAGAAGAAATAGATGAGACTTTTTATGATTCTTCAGATGAAGAATCTGAAGGAGAGCGGAACAATATGCAAGAGACAGTACAAGATAAAGTTGATGTTGATATATACTTATCTGCATATGCTAATGCGAGGAAATTCTATGATGTAAAAAAGCAGTCCATGATTAAACAAGCAAAGACTTTAGCTGTTGCTGATAAAGTTTGTATTAAAACAGCGCACCAACAAATGTTACATTCTAAATTTATTCAAATAATAGAACTTAATTATTTTTCATTTTCATGTAGGCATTTAAAAGCGCCGAACAAAAAATTAAACAAGACCTTAAAGAAACAAAAACAACCGCATCCATAAATAAGATTCGCAAGCCTTTTTGGTTTGAAAAATTTTTATGGTTTGTCTCATCCGAAAATTATCTTGTCATCGCTGGGCGTGACATGCAACAAAATGAATTGTTGGTTAAACGATATCTTCGTAAAGGTAAATTTTACGCGGTGCCATATTCTCTTTGCAAATTAAATTTCTCTTTGGTTAAAATGACATCTTTAATCCGGAAGGCGATTTGTACGTCCACGCCGATTTGCACGGTGCTGCTTCAGTTGTTATTAAGAATCCTAATGACAGTCAGCCGGTGCCTCCGAGCACACTTTTTCAAGCTGGAACTATGTCTGTCTGCCAAAGTAAAGCCTGGGAAGCGAAGATAGTTACTAGCGCGTATTGGGTCCACGCGGATCAAGTAGGCTTCTGCACACTATAGAATTTGTAACGTTTAATTAGTATTAAAGTTACTGTATTTTCCGAAATGATCCACATTATCAACATAAATATGTCATGTTCAATTAGGTATCTAAAACCGCCCCGAGTGGGGAATACCTTACAACTGGTTCTTTTATGATTCGTGGTAAAAAGAACTTTCTACCACCTGTACAATTGGTATATGGTCTTGGCTTATTTTTCAAAGTGGATGAACAAAGCATTGCAAATCATTTGCATGAACGGCGTCCACTAAAGGCTGAAGAATCAAGTGAAATAGAAAAATCAGTGAATCAAGTAATATTATAATACATTACTTAATGAGCTTGCTCTCTTTTGAACTAATAATCATATATTTTCTATTTAAACTATTATAGAATAATAATATTAAAGAGCTTTGCCTTGATGATAATAGTACTGATAGTGAACCAGAAGGCGTGGCTGGTATGATTTAACTGAATGCAAAATCCATATTATCGTTATTATATGTTTATATACAGTTGTTTTTTCGTTCATTAGAAACAGATGTTCAAACAACCAAAATAGAAAGTATTGAAGAGGCAAAGTTGAATGAAAGTGAAGATGAGAGTTACTACAATGAAGAAGAAACGCAAGAACAGGCATTAAATCAACAATTAGATTTAAGTGAAAAATTGCAGAGTTCTATGAAACTCGATATCCCAGCTTGGGATAAGTATAATCTGGATGAGTATGGTGAAGATAAAGATGCTGAAGAGGATATCAATCAAGGAAGCAGTGATAAATCGGTAATAATCTGTTAATAATAAGTATGGGAGTTAGATAATTTAATAATACATCTCTCGACATACAGAAAAAGAAATATATATCTGTGAAAGAAAGGCGAATGCTAAAAAAGCAAAAACAAGATGCTATTGGGGATAAAGATTTTAAACCTCTTGTACCGTCTGCCTCTGATTCACCTGGAGATTTAGTATCACAAAAAGGATCAAATGTTTCTGGGAAAGGAAAGGTAATTAGTTGTCTTGATTAATTTTTGATATGATCAATTACTTACTTTAACTATTCTGTCTAATAGCAAACAAAATCAGTACAAACACCTCGTGGCAAAAAAGGAAAATTGAAAAAATTGAAGGACAAGTATGCTGACCAAGATGAAGATGAAAGATCCTTACGCATGGAGTTGCTTGGTGTAAGAATATTTACATGTTTTAGTGGTGTTCATAAATTACCTTTTCCTTTGAATGTTATTAATAAAAATTTTTATAGTCAAGTAAAACACCTCAAGTCAAAGGCAAGAAAGGGAAAAAGGAAACGCAGAATCAAACAGTTTCTAAACAAACTACAAGTAATTTGAAAGAGAATTCAATTGACTTGAACAAATCTCAAAACGATACGCAAGAAGATCCAACATCTCAAAATCAGGAAGCGGAACTTGAAGAGCTTGACGAAAATTTGGTAAGCAATATATTCATACATTTGCGCAAGTGTAATTCAATTTAATGTACACTATAAAATCAACAAAAAAAAATAGATTTCAGGAATTAAAAATGAAGAAGCCGAAGAGATTCGTCAACTTTTGAAGGAAGAAAATATTACACTTTTGGAATCTGATGCAATAGTGAGTATATATTTTGAGCGGTCGCTTTCCTCCTTTACTTGATATTAAATGGTTTTCATTATTGCGATTTAGGAGAATTTGACTGTTCTCGATACTTTGACTGGAATGCCGTTACCGGAAGACAACCTATTATTTGCTGTCCCAGTATGTGCGCCTTACACAGCTTTGCAGAAATTCAAGTACAAAGTTAAGTTGACACCGGGATCGATGAAAAAAGGGAAAGGTTTCTATTATTCTATTGATTATTGATGTTAGCTTATTATTATAATCATTATCATTAATATAAATGCTTATAATTTAAACAAGCTTGCAAAACCGCTACCACATTTTTCCTAAATGATCCGACTATGACACCACGCGAAAAAGAACTAGTCAAGAGTATTCCTGATATGGAAATGATATCAGTAATGTTGGGCAAAAGTAAAGTATCTGCACCAAATATTGAGCAATCTAAAAAAACGGCGAAAAGACGTAAAGCAACAAATAAGGAGGTTTAAAACAATCACCGGAAAGTAATTAATAAGTGTACATTACAAATACTTTGAAGTTGCAATGACAAGACGAAATTTTATAATTTTAAGTAATATAAAATAGTGATAATATTAATTACTAGTGAATTAAGTATTTTAATTGGTATTTCCGGTTATATGACATGTCTATTTACAGGGTTTTAAATGTTTTATAAAGTAATTAAATTAGCGCATCCAAATTTTTATATCACCTTACGGAAATTCTTAATTAAGGTGACAAACAGGTTTTCAAGTTGCAATTTTAAAATTACACTCGAATGGCCAGTTTTAGTATCGAACCTATAATACTTTCGCTATGCCACTTGTCCAGTTTTAGTATCGAACCTATAATACTTTCGCTATGCCACTTGTCCAGTACATTGTATAATTGAAGCGTGTCTTGAAAATAAAGTTCATTGTTAATGATTTTTCGGCTAAGGTTAAAAATTGATTAAATTATGTACGCACCAGTGTGGAATTGCATTATGTAGTTAGTAGGATCAAAAACTTGTTTTGGCAAAAAAATAGATTTTTACTATTAAAGCTATTCTTTAATAGAAAGTAATCCATTTACCCCATTTTATGAAGTTTCGCTTGCGCAAAACACTTTATATTATTAACCATTTTCGGATTAGTACAAAATTTGATTCGATAATCTAATGCCATTTCTTTCGTTATAAGACTTAAACAAGAGAATACATGAACGTTTAACTATATTCGATTTTTATTTGTTTAAACCAATATTTTTTGCACTTTTACACGGGGGATGGCTAAAGCCAGATATATCATGAGATTACCCGATTTTTCCGATTTTTTAATTAAAATCGATTGATATAGGGGTGGATTAAGTAGTTTTTATAGTAAAATCGCATTTCCGACACTTTTACTTGGTTATATTTTTCGCGTTTTGGTCTTTGTGGTTTTGTCCGGGCTGATCCGGGTTATATATCGGGTAATCGAACTTTTTTGTAGATAAATATAGTAACTAGTTTATTTAATTGTCTGGAGCGAAGCGGAAGACTTATACTTCTACGTCCTTTGATAACCAAAATTTCTTTTTTGATGCATTTATATTAAAAATATCAAAAAAAAGTAGTTTTGGTATTTTCCATTTGCCACTTTTGTTTTTATATAGTAAAGTCAAAATTTTACTAAGTAAATCGATTTTGTTTATTAAATAAAAATTGTTTAGAAGATCAAAATGCATATACAGTATCTTGAAATTATAATATAATTTGGTTAATTTTTTATTAATAAGTTTTTGCTTTTTTTTTTTTTTTACCTTTTACAACTAATCTCTTTGGGGCTAGGGTTTTTATTCAAGTATTAAGTTGAGGGCTTGCAGCCGAAGCCTCAAAGGAACCCCTTTACATTAGAGAGTATATTTTAGCCATACCTATGCCTTTTAAGCATCTAATTAAGTAGTTTCCTATTATTAAGTTCTACACTAGATGTCATACCTGTAACCCACTATTACCATAAATCGCCAAAAATAAGCACCTTCTAAAAATAAGCACCTCTTATGATAATCATTAACCTCTAAAAATAAGCACCTCACAACTGAAATTATCTGCAATTTAATACCTCATTATGACAATTACATGGCAGTAAGTATCAGATTCGTTCTTTTTTTCTTCGATATGTATTTCTCTTTAACCAATTTATCACTTTTTCGTTTTCTTTAGGATAGTTAGATGCTGGAGTGTCTTGCAGAAGTACTGATCTCAGAGAACTTATAACAATTTTAGTGGTCTTTTCTTGTCCATTATTCAGTTCTTGATCACATGGCTTGAGGTAAGTTTCATTAATTCATTCTGATTTTCTTGTAGAGCTTATTAATGCCTTTAAATTTTTTACTTTTTTGTTCTAGTTGTTGCAAGCTTTTTCAAGGTTTGTAAGGTTAATAAACATCCTTGGTTTTTTAGCTTCTTCTCATTTTGTATCTTCTTTATTAACAACCATTTTATAATCAGCATCCTCATCATCCTCATTGGCATTTTCAGCATTTTCATTGTCAGCCTCATTTTTATAACCAGCTTTTGATAATGAATGAATGCTTTATGTTCATTCACTTCAACACAATTCATTTTAGTGAATTCTTGATAATAGGCAGGTGCCTTATATTTATCTATTTTAACTCTTGTTCCATTTCGATAATAGTCACCAATTTTGGGTGTGCTGATCATACTTTCTATTTCAGTAGGCCTTTTATAGTACTTTAACACTTTCTTTTCATCCTTTTTATTATACACTTTCTCTATACCTTATCTTCATCATTAGTTCCAGAGGTAGATTTTTTTGTTATTTTTGTTGGTTTCTCTATTTTCCTTCTCTTTTCCATAACAATAACCATCTTTACTCTTTTTATCAAACTCAGCCAATTTTTCATACAAGAGGCATACCTTTGCTTCGTTCTTTTCTACTCCATTTCCATATTTATCGCAATTCCTAGGGTTACATATTTTTTCATTATGACTCATATCAGCAGATAGTTGTAAATTAGCAGAGGCTTTTTGTTTGTCATTTTCAACATCAATCCTATTTTGGTAACAACAGCCAGGGTTGTCATTTTTAACTCCAATTCTATTATTTTTGTCCTTCTTTGTGTCACTTCTGCCTTGGCCATTAATGAATACCCTACATTCATCTTTTTCAGCTCCAATTTTATTCTTATAACCCATCTCAACAGCTTTTTGATAATACTTAGAAGCTCTTTCCGTCTTGACTCCAATTTTGTTGTAGGTATGTAAGTTCTTTTTTAGCCAATGTGAATTTTCTATTTTTACTTTGTATACTATTTCTTAATAAAATCTCCAGAGGGTTCATGCTTCTTGAAACTCTTCTTTGCTTATTCTGATAGTTCTGGATTTAGTAACTGCTTTATTAACATAGTTTATCACATATCGGGTAAGTTTCTGGAATTCCTCTTTGTTTACTTCCATTTTTTATTTACTTAGTATCATTTGTTCACTTGTCTTTAATGTTCTTTCATTTTATCGTTTGTTACAAATTTTGGTTTTGACAGCTTATTAATGATTTCTCTTCTGCAGTTTGTGTTCTTTCTCTTTTTGTTTTTCTTTTTGTTTTTGTTTTTTTTTTTTTTTTTGTTTTTTTTTTTTTTTTTTATTTATTTATTTTTTTTTAATTTACAAGCAATTATTAATCAAAATTCAGCAGGATACGGGTTCAGCTTGTATTGCAGTTTTTTAAATAATTACTAATTCAAGGTTTATATATTAATCCTTATATCAAAGTCTGTTACTTAGATAGTTTGTCCAATTTTGCTAATTCTGACGTCTTTTTTTTTTCACTTTCGGTTTCTTTCAAACTAACAGTTTTTTGCTTTTCTCTTTCTTGTTGAGTACTAGGATACCAGAAACCTGGTCTGGATTGGGTCTGGATTTCTTTGGTAAAATTCTTTTCTTTCTCTTTTTTCTTTTTTTTTTTTTTGACTTCTCTTTTTTTTTTTTTTTGAATCTCTTATATGCTCTCGATAATGGGTGCTGGATTTCTTCTTTCTTCAGGGTGAAGTTTCTGGTTTTTGTTCAGGGAAGTAATTTAATTCCTTTTTTTTTTTTTTTCGTCTTTGTTTTACTTATTTGTCTTTACTAACTCTTTATCTTTATTCTCAGATAAGTACATTTATAATAGGTTATTTATTCTTTGGATTTCGCTGGTACGTTGGTTTGGACTTTAATGGCTCTTTAAACACAATACATCGATCAAAGTGGCACAACCTTTCTTGCTAATACGTTGGCTTTTCTTTTGTAGCTAATTTTATTTCTTCTTTATCTATTATTTATCTATTATTGTATTACTTCTAATCAGGGTACTGAACGATCTCACAGTTTTAATATTGATTATACAGCCTTGTGGTTTCGAATCTCACAGTTACTACCAAATATAACGAAGAGAAAAATTACCACCCTTAAAAGAGGTGTAGATTTGGCCAGTAAGTATTTTATTACTAATGTGTAATTCTTTACATTCTAATAAAATGTTACGCTTATATACTATTTATTTATGTGCTATATATGCTAGATGCTCTAATTATACTATTTATGTTAAATGTCTCGATTATCCTAAATATGCTAAATATGCTATTTATTACAATGCACCAATACAAACAAATATGCAATCGATCATCCAATTCTAATTATATGTTCATTTTTTTATGAAATTTAATTGGCTAAAAATATATATAATCAGAAATTTTTGGTGAAGATTATTTAAAAATTTTATTTGAAAATAAGCTCACTCTATATATTAAAAAGAGATGCTTATTTTCGGTGATTTACAGTATTTGAATTACCCAATTAAACTCTCTGTAACACAACTTGTACCTGTATCATCGTTACATCTCTGCTACATATATCAGTCGAGAAGTCTTAGATTCTTTACCCATTCCTTTAGAACTACTTTATTCTTGAAGTATCCTTGTTAAAGTTTTCTATATCCACAATCCAGCTAACCTAGATTTAGTAACTTACACCAAGTCTGAGAACAAGTACTTGTGAGCTAAGGCCACTACCGTTATCTACTTCCGCTCTTGTAGAGTTTACCCAAACGCTAGCACCCACTATATGGACTATCAACTATACTTTCAGTTTTCACTAAACTTTTAATCCAGATAGCCCAGAAGGGTGGACCCCTTCCTCTGGCTGACCCAGCGGCCTGGTTGGTGTAATGCTTACCAAACATCTTGGTTCTGTTTGGTTTTTTCCTTTTTCTGGATGATCTTCCTTTATGTAGTACTGTCAAAAATCTGTGCTACCTTTCTACTCGAGTCTTGCCAAGTGGGCTTCCATATACTCCACACTCCTGGATTTATCTGGCTGCTTCACTTAGGATTCGTATAACTTATTTGTTACACTAATATTTCACAACCTTCTAATACAAGCTGGTATGACCAAGACTACAGATCTATCAATCTGTGTAGTTATGCATAATGTACCATAATGCATTCTATTAAATTCGAATTTTGTTGC